GCACCCGCCGCCTAGCAGTCTCCACCCGCTGCGGCAGGGACCTCGCGAGAACTCGGCCGACACCGCCCAGCCCGGGGGTGGGGGCTCTGACTGTTGAGTGCCCGGGCTTCGGGGTCGGAGGTCAAAACCGCACTTCGGGTCGCACATGCGGTGTGCCCGGTGGAAAGGTTGGCCTGCGCTTGCAGGATGTCCCTGCGAGTCCGGATCCTGGGCCTAGAGCACCTTGCCGTGAGCTGGGAAGTGACTCCGATCTTTGTACACGGCGGCTACCTTGCTCGGAGACGGCGGCCTGCACGGACTACAGCGCAAGGGAGCGTTGTCACCCGGCGCAGACTCTGCCCGGACAGCCCTCCTGTGCTAGGACCAACCCCGGTGTGAACAGCAGCGCGGACACAGCCAGCCGGGAACATAGTGTTGGCAGGGTAAGGTCCTTGGAGAAGGGGCAGTAAACCGCAGGGCCTCGCCCTCTGCGCAGGCCGTCTCCCTGCACTAGCGTGGTCACCTCGCGAGTGCGAGGGCTGCCTCGCACCCTGCGGACCCACGGTTCAGCGCAGTGGCTGTACTTGACTTAGCCTCACCAGGTACTTAACAGCTTTTTCCCTTTGACACAGCTATTTTCTTTCCCAAAGAAATATGAACTTTGGGGAACCAGCAGTTAGTGTAATGGCTATGTCGCTGGATTCCCACGTAGTCGACCGCGGTTCGCGTCCCGGACCCGGTGGCTTAAAACTCACGCCGGGCGCGAGTGGGTGCATGCCCAAGATCCCGAGAGGAGACTGGAGAAGGGATTGCAGCGTGACCATCCCCCCTGGGGGGTGATTTCTCGCTTTCTGTCTGTCTCTGGCGAGCGCACGCACCCTATAGCGAAAATCTCTCAAAAAAGAAAAAGAAAAAGAAATATGAACTTTGAACCAGTCACGGTTAAGAACTGGTTAAGCGGTGGTCAGCACGGGCACTTTCACTGGGCTGCAGGCAAACCTTGGCTGGAGAAGTGACTGCCCAACAGCCGAGGGAGGGCCGGCTCCATCAAGTAACAGCTCAGGGCCTGTCACCCACAAAGCTGGCCATAAGTTTACTAATGTTTATACGTGCTTACACTCACAAATACAGGCAGCAGCACTTCTGAGACTCACGTATATAGATGGGGGCCAGTCATGTGTACTGGTGAGGACGTTGGGTCCCACGTGGCCAACTGTGCCACTGACCCTGGGCTGGAAAATCATATGCCAGGCACATGTGTGTGTGTGCTCAAAATCCCAAAAGGAAGCAGGATTAGAATGGTGCAGATGGCCATGTGGGAACCAGCCACACCTTCACCATCTTGCTGCCTGGCTGGTCTGACCCAGGATTTATTTTTATTTATTTATCTTTTTTTTTTTGAATTTGACCAGAGACAGTGAAGAAAGGGAAAGTGAAAAAGCAAGCTGCCTCACACTTGAACCAGGTCAACCATGCGGGACTTCTAGCACCGTAACCCCACAGCACCTGACAGCTTCCCAGGATTTATTTTTAAATACTATTTTCTCATTCTTGTTTTTTCTATTTCTCATTTTTTCTATTCATGTGCTAACTGCTACTCCCTTGATCAGTCTCAACCCTTTAACTCACCACACTCATCATCAAACCTGGCCCAGAAAAAGCTTTCAGCAAAATCCACATCCTTTCATGAAAAAACAAAAACAAAACAAAACCTAGGAATAAAAGCAAACTTAACATGATAAATGATTAGTATGAAAAATTCACAGCCAATATGGGTCCTCAGAAAAGTCAAGATGCATTTCCACATAGAAGCACATAGGAAATGCGTCATGAATTTTCCAACGACCAGATAGCTGATCATGTTTTGAATCCTGGCCTTGGTGGCTAGAAGATCTAATCAGGTGTGTGTGCATGCCCAAAATTCAGACAGGATGGAGAGACAGAGGGAATGTGATGTGACCACACCCTGCCAGAGCTGCACCTGCCCCCATACCCTGTGAGCACACATGCCCTTTTGGCAATTATTTAAAAAAAAAAAAAAAAAACCTTACTGAAGGAAATTAAAGACCTAAACAAATGGAAAAATATTTTGTGTTCACAGATTAGAAGAATGAATATTGTTAAGAACACATTACCCTCTATAGCAGAAATGGGAAGTTTGGGAGATAGGGTAGCAGGGAGGGCAACTGTAAATACTAGAGGCAGTGAGTGGGGGGGAAAGTGGGGTGGGACAACGTAGATTCCTATAGGCAGTAAGGACAAAGAAATGTGGGTCAGGGAGGGAGGGAGGGCATGGGAAGAAAAAAGTATGTTTATTTAACAAAAAAATGAAAAGCTATTTGTTGATAATGTGTATGGTGATGGCTTTGTCTTGACTGATATGGTATTCTTGATTTTTAGAAAGCAATGTTGTACACTGTAAAAATATATGCAATTAAATGTAAATTAAAATTTAAAAAAAAAAAAGCCTTACCCAAACTGATTTGCAGATCCAAGGCAATCCCTATCAAAATCCCAATGGCATTTTTTGCAGAAATGGAAAACCCATTCTAAAATTCATGTGGAAATTCAAGGAAACTACAGAGCAAAAACAATCTTGAAAAATAACAAAGTTGAAGGGCTCACACTTTCTGATCTAAAATCTTACTACAAAGCTACAGTAATCAAAATAGCATGGTATTAAAGATAGACATAAAATTGAGAGCTGAGAAACAATTCCTCACCTCTATGGTCAATTGATTAATATAAGGATACCAAGGGGCCAGCAGGTGTGTGGTGGTTAAGGTGCTGGACTCCCACATGGCTCACTGCAGTTCAAGTCCTGGACCTGAAGGCGTCCTTTCTCACACTCGTCAAATTAAAAAATAATAATAAATAAAATTAAATAATTCTATACCAAAAAAAGATAATGATGGTAAGACTGCTCAGAGGGGAAGGACAGGCCCCTTCAATAACTGGTACTGAAAAAACTGAATCTCGACGTACAAAAGAATGAAGCTGGGCCCTTGCCTTATAATAGCTATAAAAATTAACTCAAATGGAGCAAACCTAAAATTTAACAACTTAGGAGAAAATGTTAAGTGAACCTGCTTGAGCTTAGATTTAAAAACCATTTCTTAAACAACATGAAAAGCACAAGCAACAACAAAAATAAACAACTTAGATAACTAAGATGACCATTCAAAAGACATTATCAAGAGAATGAAAAGGCAATGCACAGCATGGGAGACATGCATAAACTCTCCATCTGAAAGCAGGTCAATGAGCCAGAATGCATTAAAAAAATAATAAATAGGGACCAGCAGATGGCATAATGGCTACGTTGCTGGACGCTCATGTAGTCAGCTGCGGTTCAAGTCCTCGACCCAATGGCTTAAATTCACGCCGGGCGCGTATGTGTGCGTGATGTGTGCGTGCCCAAGATCCTGAGGAGAATGGAGAAGGGAATGTGGCGTGGCCATCCCTTTGGGGGTGACTTCTCACTTTCTGTGTCTGTCTCTGGCAAGCGCACGTGCCCTAGAGCAAAAAACCTCATTCATTCATAAACAAATAGTGAAGCAACAAGAGAGGTAACAACTCAGTTTAAAAACAGGCAGAGGGACCAGCCAATGGCGTAATGGTTACGTCACTAGACTCCCACGTAGTTGACTGGAGTTCAAGTCCTGGACCTGGCAGCTTAAAACTCACACCGGGCCAGGGGACCAGCAGGTGGCGTGGTAATTAAAGCGCTGGACATTCCCACATGGCCAACCATGGTTCAAGTCCTAGACCTGGTGGAAACCCTTTCCCTCTTTCTCTGTGTCTCTCTCTGTTCAAATTAAAATAAAATGAATGAACAAATAAAATTAAATAATTAAAAAACAAAAACAAAAAACCCCAAAAACCTCACACTGGGCTTGTGTGCCCAAAATCTCGAGAGGAGAATGGAGAAGGGATTGCAGTGTGGCCATACCCCCGGGGAGTGATTTTTTACTGTCTGTCTCTCTGGTAAGTGCATATGCCCTACAGCAAAAATCTCTCCCACAAAAAAAAAAAGGCAAAAGACTTAAAATATGGGTCTCCAAAGATACACGAATGGCTAACAAGCCATGAAAAGATGCTCGCACCATTCATCTTCAGGGAAGTGAAGAACTAAATCATGACATACCACTTTATATCCATAATATTGGATAGCCTCGAAAAAGCAGAAAATAATGTGTTGGTGAAGGTATGGAACTGGAACCCGTGTACATCACATAAAGTGGGGCAGCCACTGTGGGAAATCTGGCAGCTCCTCAAGGAGAAGGGACTGAAGACAAGGCCCCCACAGCATGCACTGTCTGCACAGCAGCCTTACTGGCAGTGAGAAGGCAGAAACGACACCCGTGCCCACCAGCCAGGGAGTGGGTGTGATTGGTGCTCAGGCACAGAGAGGATGGGATCTAGTGAGTTTGACAACGGGTGACCCTGACGGTGTCACTCTAAAATACCAGACACAAAAGGACACACAGTGATTCCACTCACATGAAATGCCCAGACCAGGCAGAGGTAGAGACAGAAGTAGTCAGGAGTTACGGGGTGGGGGGAGTCACCCCTGTGAGTATGAGTATGGTAGGCAGTCGGTCTCGGGTAACGAAGAGCCCCAGGCGATGACTGCCCAATAGGTAAAGGGAGCCAATGCCACAGAGCTGTATTCTTAAAAAAGGTTAAAGTAGCATTATATACATTTATTTTTTTAAATCAGTACACCATATTTCGTACAGTGGCTTTAGGTCTGTGGGAAACTGAACAGAAAGCACAATTTCCATGTGTCCCTTTCCCCCTCTGCTCCCTACCCTTACTGACTCTGTGTGCCCGTGTGGTAATGCTCTACTCCGGCTGGTAAACATTGACATCCTAGCGGACGACTCCATACTTGGTTATTTTACCAAGCAGGGGAAGCAGCCGCAGGAGCCAAGGTGGAAGAAGTCCCAACTGCCAATGCTGAAACCACATAAGCCAAGAAATAAGAATTGCCAAGTAGGATTACAAGCCCAAACATAAGGACATCTGGGTCTGTGGTGGTAAGTGACCAGGCATATCCACAGATGGCAGGGAAGGGACGGACCTCCAAGAGTGCAGACACTGCTTCCCCGGTGTGTGGAGCTCAAACTCCCTCGCCCAAGGCATAACAGCGGGGAAAGCAGTGACCTGATCAGGCAGCAGTGTGGCCAGCGCTAACCATGTAGAGCTGGAGCACTCCAATGGGACGTGGAGAAGCACTGCTGCTCTATGCTATTTTATCCTAACTCCAGTAATCCCAGTCCTGTTGTGACAGTCACACCTGAAAGAGGAAGGATGTCCTACAGACCACTTGACCAGTGCATCTGAAAACTATCAAGAGAAACACAGATAAATGTCCAAGAAACTATCACAGACTGAAGAGCATCAATGAGATGTGAGTTCTGACTGTAGCGTGTGCCGACCTGGATGGGACCCTTGGACAGGAAGCAGGCATTCAGGGAAATGTGGTAAAACCCAAATAAAACCTCGAGTTCAGTCAACAGTAACACACCAGTGTCAATTTTGTGGTCAGGCCTGTGTTCTGTGGTGACGTAAGATATCGACAGCAGGGAGAGGGCAAGGGCACATGTGCACCCTCTGTCTATCCTCATGTCTCTGTGCACTTAACGTGGTCCAAGATAAAACGTCACTGGAAAAGAAAGAGATGCTAGATGGTTTACCTTCTTTATTCCACTAGTGTAACTACATTGTAGATTCAGAAATCAGAACCCATCTTGCAGGTGTGCTGTCCAGGTCTGTCCCTAAATGTAGGGATGCAGTTTGGATTCATGTTAGGAGTGAGACATTCCTAGGACACAGCAAGGCTGTGGAGGAATACTGACCTACGCTCGGACAGACAGGACCAGCCCCTGCTGCAGTCACGTGCTGTGGTCAGACATGGATGTCTCTAACATCATGTCACTTTCATTCATTTCGATCTCAAAGGTTTCTTCCAAGGAAGGTCTGGGATCAGGAGTTTTCCTTGAGGTTTCCAATGGTGCAAGCCCGGTTTCTTCGGCAGTCTGTTTTTCTACTTCAAATTCCCTGAAATCCCACGGAGGTGAAATAATGTTTTTTAGTGTCTTCATTGTATGCACATCAAAGTCATAACATTTTAATTTGTCTTTAATGTCTGCTCCTAAAAAGAAACACCATAATTAGAATAAAATAAGAAATTCCACCATTTATCTTCATTTCCATCATTACATAACACTGTCTATCATTTAAGTCATACTTTTAAGAGCACAAATACAGATCGGAAAGGGAAAAGAACATTTCCATCTTTTTTTTTCTCCTCACCATTTTCGAGGGAGATGTTGGCAAGACTGCTAGAAGCACAGTGGCTGCATTTCAGTGTGGTTCAACTGCCACCCACTCGATGGGCCACCCTCGGACACGAATGTCTGTGGTCTGTCTACCAGGGGTGTTCACAAGTCTTACACGAACAAAAACCAAAACGGAGGGCAATGCATTTCCCTCCTATCGAAACCTTACGATCTGAACAGAGATGTATGAGGTCCAATTGTTTCTGATATAAACAAGATGTGTCTCACACAGTTCAAACAGCTTTCTGGAACAGGCATGGAATAGGCTTGGCAAACTGACATGCAAGCCTCCAAAAGAACTGGTAAGCAATCAATGATAAACATGGACGTCCCCTCAGACGGTCCCTTCGCAGGGACAGGGAAAGCGTCTGACTACAACTGCATTTCACAGCCAAGCCTCACAAGTCCTCTGGAACAAAGAGGAAACTGAGGTTCAGATTTGCCCCAGTCCTAGGGACTACCAAGGGGCTGAGCTGAGGTCTCAGCCCAGGACTTGAGATAAATACCTCAACTCAAGCTTGTTTTTGTTTGTCTTTATTTTTTAAATTTAATTGGCCTATAGCATAGAAACTTGGTAAAGTGTGTTCCCCTGTAAGTGCATGGGCTGGTGAACTAATATAATCCACATAACCAGGACAGGCAGAAACTCCTCAAGCCCACTCTGTGCCCCTTCCTGGTCACCACTCCAGGAAATAGCTATTCGACTTCATTACTAGTTTCCCTATAAATTGAAATAATCAGTACACACACAGTTTTGTTAAAACCTGTGACACTGGGACTAGCAGTTGGCGTAATGGCTATATCGCTGGACTCCCATGTAGCCGACTGCGGTTTGAGTCCCGGACCCGGCAGCTTAAACTCACATGGGGCGCGTGTGCATCCGTGCCCAAGATCACCCCTGGGGGGTGGTGATTTCTCACTTTCTGTCTCTCTGGCAAGTGCACATGCCCTAGAGCAACAACCTCTCCCCCCAAAAAAGGAAGAAAAGAACCCTGTGACTTTCACTCATGTTACTACATGGTTTAGTAGGTCAGTTCTCTTAGATCATGTAGTATCTGGTTTTATGATCAAACTACTCTTTCTCCTTTCACCTACTGGCAAACATCTAGGTCACTGTTAGGTGCTGCTACGACTAAAGTAGCCGAGAGTGACCCCGTGTGTGGCCTTGGTAACAGGCACTTGCTGGGGCTGGCCCAACCCTGAGTAAAGCTGCTGGGACACACGCCTTGTGACAGGTCTCCATCCTGATCACCCTGTCATCCTCACCTTTGCACAGCCCCTTCTGTGGTGACTAGCTTAATTACGTGACTTGCTCTGATTAGAAGAACCTGATGGAGTGTTACCAAGCCACCTCCAACTTCCAGAGTTCTGAATCTTTGAATCTCACCCCGGCACTGCAGAGCATGCCCAACTGTCCCCACTGAGGCTCTCCCTGTGAGTGAGGCCATCTGAAACCATTAATGCAGCCGGGTGTCGAATGCCCACAGGCACATTCGCAAACCTAGGCCAGACAGCTGGTGAGCCTGCTGACCCTGGGAACAACGTGGTGTGGGCTGCTAGCATGGAGCAAAGGTCAGGAGCTGCTCGACAGAAGCCACACCCCAGGGCAATGGCAGTTCAAATCCCTGGCCTGGAGAACCAGCAGTTAGCGTAATGGCTATGTCGCTGGACTCCCATGTAGTCGACCGCGGTTCGTGTCCTGGACCCGGTGGCTTAGAACTCACGCCGGGCACGTGTGCGTGCGTGCCCAAGATCCTGAGAGGAGAATGGAGAAGGGATTGCGGCGTGACCATCCCCCCTGGGGGGTGATTTCTCGCTTTCTGTCTCTATGTCTCTCTCTCTCTGTCTGGTGAGCACACGCACCCTATAGCAAAAACCTCTCCAATAAAAAAAGCCCTGGCCTGGTCAGTTTGAAACATAACAGGCAAGTGTGCGAATGACCAAAGTCCAATGGGCTAGAGAACTGGAAGAAGGGGATCCCAGCATGGCCAGATCCTGGGCAGGGTGCTTGCCACCCCTCCTTCCTCTCTCTTCTGTGTGTGCGTGTGCACAGCACAGTCCAGCATGAACAAAGAGAGCATGCTACACTGCTATTAGTTGGAGCCACCAAGTTTTGAAGTGATTTATTGGAAAGCAAGAGGTAACTGTCATGCTGTTACAGTTAACTGCTACGTTCCCTACAGTAGATGGGTTAAACAGCTCTCTAATGGCTGTGCCCATTTGAAACCCACCAGTAATCAGTATCATGACTCATGGTAGTCCCACATCACCACACCAGGCACTGCCCATGTCTAATGGAGTTGAGCCATACAGAGGATGTGCACTGCATCTTTATTTGCTTCATAAATGCCTGGGTACCCTCTTTGGTGAAGCTCTTTTTCAAACATTTGGCTCATTTTCTTTACCCGTTGTCTTACTAGCAGGATTTTATTTTTATTTTTATTTTAGACATGAGCTCTTTGCCAAATCTACATGCTGAGTCTTCTCTCCAGGCTATGGCATGCCTCTCACTGTCAATTGTTTTTTTGTTTTTTTTTTTTTCGTTTTTGCCATGGTGTGTGTACTAACTAGCCAGAGACAAAGAGAAAATGAAAAATCACCTCCCAGGGGAGATGGCTTTACCACAATCCCTTCTCCATTCTCCTTTTGGGATTTTGGGCATGCACACATGTACCCAGCATGATTTTCAAGGAGCTGGGTCACATGGATCCAGCCGGCCACATGGGATCTAGCACCTTAACCTCCATGCCTCCTGCTGGCCTTCACTGTCTTTTATTTTTCATTTATTTTTAATTTATTTTTTTAAGAATTATTTAATTTTATTTATTTATTCATTTATTTTAACTTGACTAGAGAGAGACAGAGAGAGAGGGAAAGTGAGAAAGCAAGCCACCGGGTCTGAGACTCGAACCATGGTCGGCCATGTGGGAATGTCCAGCACCTTAACTACCATGCCACACCTGCTGGTCCCATTTTTTATTTTTTTAATGCCAGAAGTTACATACATGAGAGTGAGAAGATAGCCCATGGAGTCTGCTCACACTGCAATCCTTTGTCCTCCAGTTCTCCACCCTGTCAGGGTCCTGGGCTAGGACATGAACCCTGGTTGGCTATGTGGGTCCAGCTTCTGTGCAGTGTTAGCCCAACTATATGGAGCTGGCCCTTAATGATATTTTTGATGATCAGAAGTTCTTAATTTTACTTAAGCCCGATTTATTGTGTTTTTCCCTTTTGTACCTTTGTTTCATATTTTGTATTTCAAGGTCAAATCTAAGCTTTAACCTCAATGCACCCTCCTCAGCTAAGAGGACGACCTAAGGACGACCGATCCAAACGTACCCTGATATATCTGTTTATTATTGAACCATTTTTAAAGAAATTACTTATCACTGTTAAATATGTAAGGCATCTCAAACCTCACCCAAACGTCGAGTGCTATTATACCACCCTGCATTACAAAGCAAGGCCAGAGACACCACTGAGATCCCGTCTCCATTATGCAGTCAGGTGGGCTGTGCTGCAGAAAGTGCTTGACATGTCTCTACAGTACTTTGCACAGAGAGTATTCAGCTTTGAAATGCAGACACTGGAGGCACTACTCCCACAGCACTATTCTTACAAACTAAATGGAGTTTCTTGACATAGATGTAGTTAGAATAGTTAGAAAGATACACGTAGACCCTTGGATGAGAATCTGAAAACTCATGCTGAGATATACAGGCCACAGTAAAACATGGAGTATAATGCTAGTAAGCACCATCTTACCAATGTAAGCTTCAGAGTCACCAATGTACATCTCGATGCAGTGACCAAGCATTGTAACAGAAAACGTGTCATCTCGCCTGAGACCAAGGGCCTGCCACAAAGGAACACCGTTATTAAAAGAAAATACATTTCCTTTTCTTTTGTTTAAAGATACTCCCACACTGATCCACTCTGTTACCTTCCAGGTGCCCAGAGTGGGTGTTGGTGGGTATACCTGTGAGACTGGAGTAGCAGATGACGGTCAAGCAAGCTCCCGGGGGCTCCCTATACTATTCAATCCTTGCCCTTCAAACCCTTCCCTCAAAGAACTGCACATGGCACCCCCACACGCAGCCTCTGAGCCTCCTGCCCTAGCTCAGTGACAAGGAGTATATTCTGGATGACTCAGGTACACATCTCAGACAACGCGTGCGAGGGCAAGCCCTTGTGTGCTTCCAATTCCTACCTCGCTCAGAGTTCTGGCTGTCAAACGGCATCTTTAAGACTTCACCTAGCCTGAAAACCTCCAATTAGCCCTTTAAAGTCAGTTACGAACCCACCACTCACGAATTTACCTTTGAATGTATTTCATTTCCTTGTATTTTATCTCCTACAGATACCATTCGTTCACTGATCTTAAGATCCACATTTTCTCAAACGCTAATGCTTCTGAACCTGGGAGGACTGTTGGTCCGTCACCACTGTGGTGCGGGCTCCCGTCTGGGAGACACCGGTCGTCGTGAGGTGGCACAGCCCCGACGGCGCACCTCAGGATGGCCAGAGACGTGTGTGTCACACTGGAAACCCTCAACACGTCAGCGGGTTGCAGAGTGGGGTCCATGGCTGGGGGAATTAATTCAGCAAGGGCAGCATGCGTGTTGTGACCAGGACACCACTTTGAGAAAACAGGGTTATGGACCACTTGGATTGAACGTCATAGCCATGTATTTCACTTTTGGTTTTTAAATTTATGTCTAGAGTGACCCCAGACAAAAACTTGTGTCCAAGGGGAACCAGCAGTTAGTGTAATGGCTATGTCGCTGGACTCCCACGTAGTCGACCGCGGTTCACATCCTGGACCCAGTGGCTTAAAACTCACACCAGGCACGTGTGGGTGCGTGCCCAAGATCCCGAGAGGAGAATGGAGGAGAAGGGATTGCGGCGTGACCATCCCCCCTGGGGGGTGATTTCTCGCTTTCTGTCTCTATGTCTCTCTCTGTCTGGCGAGCGCACGTGCCCTATAGTGAAAAACCTCTCCAAAAAAAAAAAAAAAACTTGTGTCCAAGTATGTACAGAAGAGTACTTTTTCCAAGTACCAAAAAAATCAAGTGACAAGAAAAATTGTACTAAAGTTTAATTGGTGGGACCAGCAGGTCGTTAAGGCACTGGACTCCCATAGAGCCAAGCATGTTTCAAGTACTGGACAGGGTGGCTTGAAAATCATACCGGATTGGGACCAGCACATGGTATGTTTATGTCGCTGGACTCTCATGCAGTCAATCACAGTTCGAGTCTCAGACCCAGCAGCTTGACACTCACACTGGGCACGTGTATGTGTGCCCAAAATCCTGAGAGGGGACTGGAGAAGAAGGGACTGTAGCATGGCCATCCCACTCAGGGGGGGGGTTCTCGCTTTCTGTCTCTCTGTTTCCAGCGAGTGCACATACCCTACAGCAAAAACCTCTCCAAAAAAAAGAAAAGAAAGAAACACCAGCTGCATGTGTGTGTGTGTGCCCAAAATCCCGAGAGAACAAAGAAGGGACTGCAATATAGCCACCCTCCTAAAGAGTGACTTCTCACATTCCCTCTGTGTCTCTCTGTCTCTCTGGCAAGTACACACACCCTACCACAAGAACCTAAACACAAAGAGTTTAACTGGAAGTGCTTTATCCTTGTGGTAATCTCTCTTATTAACAGCGTCGCTGGCTTGATGAAGTGCAGAAGAGAGATGACGGGGAGATTCTCTCCTTATGGGTGCACACCTTGCTGTTTACCTACTAAAGTGACCTCAGGCCATTCACTTTAAGAGCAGTTAAGAAGAAAGCCTGGGAGTTCCACTGCTCTCGCTGCAAACAGGGATGCTGTGCTCCCAGCCCAAGCGCGAAGCCCAGGCGGACAGTGGCAAGTGCAGCTGGGCAGCGTGTGCTGCCACCCTTGGAGGCCAGGTCTCCCATGGGCTGCTGGGCTGTGGCCACTGCCCCACATGCATGGAGCTCTCTGCAGAGCTGCCCCACAGTGGCACAAGGGCAGGCCGCAGCAGCCTAACACTGGAGCCATACGGGAGCCCCAGGCTCAGGACCTGGGGCAAGCTCAAAATGCCTGCATACAGGGGGACACCCGTGCTCCTGGGGGCTGGGAGCCCACAGAAGGGACTGCAGCATAGCAAGTCCCTGTGGAGGTATGTGTGTCTCCCTCTCTCTCTCATGAGAAAGGAATAAGAAATTACAAAAAAAAAAAAAGTAAATAAAACTTCCCAGAAAAGAGTTGTTTTTTTTTTTTTTTTTTTTTTTTAAATGGTTTTGCCAAAGTGTGTGTGCACTTGCCAAAGAGACAGAGGCAGAGAGAGGGAAAGTGAGAAATCTCCTCCCAGGGTGATGGTCACGCCACAACCTCTTCTCCATTCTTCTCTCAGGATTTGGGACATACACACACATCCGACGTGATTTTCAAGCCTCCAGGTCAGAGACTTGAACTGTGGATGGCTATGGTGGGAATCTAGCACCTTCATCATACCACCTGCAGGCCCCAAGAAAGGCTTTAAGGAAAAGTGGTGAGTGCTACCAAGATGGAGAGTCAGGAACAGACAGAAGACTCACAGTGTGGAAGTAGTCCACGGCATTTTCGAAGTTGCCCATCAGACTGTGGATATACCCGATGGCAGAGTAGGTGGACGCGTTCTGAGGGATCAGCACCAGCGCCTGTCTGTGGTAGTCCAGTGCCTCGGCGTACTTTCTGCAGGAGAGAGACAGTGGGGGGCGGGGAAGCTCCTGGGCCCAGTAAGAGCCCCAAACCCTCATAGAAGATGGGCACCCATCTAAGAGTTCAGGTAAGACACACTGTCCCGTACCAGGCAAGTCTACACCGGCAACTGTCCCGCAGCCCTTGCAGCAGCTCAAACCTTGAGACGCTAGCTCAAGGCCTGCCACAGGCACCTGCTCGTTCTTTCCGGAGGCTGATGGGACATGGAAGCAGAACCCATGCCCTGCCTCCTGGCCTTCACTCTGCCATGCCCTGCCTTCCCAGGCTACAGTGATGGGGAAGCAACAAACCCTTTCAGGCAGGGTTGGTTAAAAGGAGCCAAGGAGTTTTGCAGTAAGGTCCACGAGTTCCTTAGAACAGTGTTCTCAAGGATCTCTGGGATATGTGCCCTGTAACTCATTTGTGGGGAAAAAGTTTTTATGCTTAAGTTTGGGAAATGCTGCAGCTCAAATGCACAGTAAAGACTTAAGAGACATCTGCAATGAGAGCTATTAAATTCCGGATGACCTGGGGCTTCCCAGACGTGCTTCACCAAATAATTCGCTTTGCAACTGTCATCAGATCATAGCAGAAAAGTCCAAAGAGAAGTTAGAATATAGATATGATTTTAATTAGATTCTCCTGTCCTGAAGAATTTTTTCTCTACGAAAATTACTGTAATTATCAATGTTTTCCAAATAAAACTAAAACAACAGCGAGAAACTATAAAATGGTAATTCTGACACCTATTATAATCTAAGCAGCCAAGGAAGCACAAGAAAGCTGAAAGGTCTCATGGCATAAAACACACAGAAAAGGTTTTTCAAAATTAAGTAAGCTTTCAGTCACAACATACATTTCTGAAAATGCTCTACTTCACTTACTTCAATTTTCTGCAGACATGCCCCAAGTTGTTCAACAAAGGTTCCCACTTGTCAACTGTTACCTGAAACACAGCAGCACCAGGCCAACGAGTTACACACATCACAGCGCAGCCGAGTCACCCAATGCCCCTGCACGCTGGTTGTCTCCAGACCTGTCTCTGCCACAGCACCAGGCGGGCACATGTGCTGACTGGCAGGCACAGTTCTTCCAAGAGCCCATCCATGCTGAAGCGCCAGCCACATCCCTGCAGCCCTGAGCATTCCCTGAAGCACCAGAATCTTTATTGCCTGCTGCTGCACTCAGGGACCTCAAGTGCACCTTAATGTGATTCACACTGAACCCCTCTCCTGCCACCCCAGGCCCTAACCTCATCCCCCAAGCACCCTACTACTCAGTAAATGGCCCCCATGTCACCCTTGGCCTGCCAAGAATGACCAGGGTTGGCTCATCCTACACCCTGGGTATGACTTAGCCACTTCGCCCTGCTTCCCCACCAATCCTGCCTCAGACCCGTCCCAAAGGCCTGACCATGCCGATCCCTTGAAGGCCCTCATGTCCCCACTCTCCTCAAGACAGGTGCACACTTAGCATCGTCACTTCCAAGGCCCTTAATGATCCACTTAACCCTCCTGCCTGTTCTCTGAACTCAATTCAAGCAATACTGAATTAGCGCCAACCTCTGCACAGACCGTCCTCTGCCGTGAAATGCACCGGGCTTCTATCTAGCCACCCACAGGGCCACGATGCAGCACCCTCATGTCTGGACAAACAGCATTCTTCGTGAGGGCCTTATCTCCTCAGCGACACTGTGCACTACTGCACACTTGCTTTTTACACAGTTAGTCAGAGTTGAGGGCGGGAATGGCCAGCCACGACTGCTCTGCCACACCTAATGCCGAGGGTGTGCCCACAGGCTGGTTCACGTCGCCTCCAGGCATGCAGCTGGGGCCACACTGTCTCCAGGGAGACTGGCCCCAGTCTGACGCCTGCAGCCATTCCTAGGCAGCTGCTCTCTGGCTACCCTGACATTTACCACAGCCTACAAAGCAGAAACACAGCATTTTCCCTTCTACAAGCTAGTGGGCATTTGGACACTTCAATAGTATTGTTTTTGGACTTAAAACCATTACTATACATTTCCATAAGACTGCAAGTGCCTAAGATTCATCAAAGATTACAGTTTCAACTTTCGGTGTGGTCTGGGGTCGTGCTTCTCAAACCTCAGTGCACAAGACCCATCTGGGGATCTCGTTAAAACTGCACATTCAGGTTTGAGAACTCTGGGACTCTGCACCTCTAAAAAGCTTCCAGGTGATGCTAAGGGGTTAGCATAGCATTCAATTCTTTCAAAATTGGCAAGATGACGTATTAGTACATACCCAGATTAACAAAGAATTTAGATAGTCGTGAACGACCCAAGACTCAGCTAAGGAAGAACCTGACTTAAATAAACGTTTACCATGTGTGAACACATGGAAATACAGTGTTCACAGTTCAGATGACCAAAGACACGAGGTCAAGGCAAACAAAGTTGTCTGTGGAGAGCGGAAGATACCATCTGTCAGAGGACCTGCAGAGCTATCTGCCAAAGAGAAGCTATTAGAGAAGGAAGGTGGGGGGTGCACACGGCAGTGAGAATCTTAACAGGACAGAGTAAGAAAGCTGTGAACAAACATAATCAGGACTCAGAAGAGCAGTAACATAAAATCCCTAACAGAGGCTTGGGGCCCCAACCCTGTTACTACTTTAAAATAAAGCCAGGGTGCACACATCCTTGCTAGCTGGAGGTTAATTCACAAGCACCCACTTATAGGGGACATTTCTAACACGACAGAACTCGGTCAAATATTCTCAACACCGAGAGGTCTGCACACACACTCAGGACACAGAGCGAGCAGCGCTGAGGGGTCTGGGGTGGAAGGGTATCTATCTACACCCTAGCCTTGCCTACAGCTACACTTCAGCCAGATGAAGTTCTCTTAAGTACCAGGGGAGGACCACCACGTTAGAGCAGTGCCCAGTGTCCAGGCGGCACCTGTGTCCCATTCCACTCACTCAGCTAACAGAGTTGGTACCCTCCTGTGAAGCTACAGCCCTCTCCGTGAGCAAACACCAACCACCTGCCCTCCTAGAGACAAACTCCAACTTTTACCGTGTAGTGAAAGTTGACTCCCTGACAATTTGAACAATCCATTTGTTATTAAAAAAAAAAAAAAAAAAGATTACATTCTTCTAGGCGAGACACCTTATCTCCCTAACCCTACAGGTACAAACATACGAGTGTGCACTAGATAACACACAATACCTCATTCCCAATTGCTTTAATCTTTTCCAAAGCATCAAGAAACCATTTTTCTGCTGTTTTCCATCTAGAATAGAAGAAAAAAAAGGCTGCAGATTATTCAAAGTTACCAAGTGTACACATTTTAAGAAAAATTTAAATATTTCTCTCATAGTATTAAAAATAAAATGGGATAAACTGCTAACAGTAATTGTTCATGGGTCCAGCAGATGGCGTAATGATCACGTTGCTGGACTCCCACGTAGCCGACCTCGGTTCCAAGTCCCAGACCCAGCGAGGCTGAAAACTCACACCGGGCACATGTGCGTGCATGCCCAGGAGGAGATATGGGGAAGGGACCGTGTTGTGGCATCCCCCATGGGGGGTGATTTCTCACTTTCTGTCTGTCTCTGTCTCTCTAGTGAGTACACACACCCTATAGCAAAAATATTAAAAAAAAAAAAAAGAAAGAAAGAAAAAGTGATTGTTTAGATTTCAAGGGTAAGTCCGATAAACGATCACCTTTAGGGACCCAAGTCAAAGATTTAAAATTTAAGAGATCAATCTGATTCTCATTTTCCGAGAAATTTATGCTCTATAAAGTCACGAATGTGGGACCAGCAGTTTGCATAATGGTTATGTTGCTGGACTCCCATGTAGTCGACCACGTTTTGAGTCCCAGACCTGGTGGCTTAAACTTACGTCAGGCGCGCATGCGTGCGCGCCCAACATCCTGAGAGGAGAATGGAAGAGAAGGGATTGGAATGTGGCCATCCCCGCTGGGGGCTGATTTCTCACTGTCTGTCTTTCTGGCGAGCGCACACGCTATATAGTAAAAACCTTTCCAAAAAAAAAGTCACGAATGTTCACCCACTGCTCCCAGGAAATAGAACAAGGGTCCTGCAAACCTCCAGGGTCACATTTTCATGAGGTAACTGATGTGTACTCTTTTGTTTTACGTGCATTTCTGTTTGAAAACACTACCTATCGCAAAACTTACCTGGCTCTTGGATTCCCCAGGAGGCACCTCTCACAGCTGCGAGGGCTTGAATGCCAGATAGTATTTTAATAGGTGCTAGGGGATTGTCTTAATAGTGAAATCCCAAACAAAAAGCACAAAAATGTGGAAAACACAGCATTAAACCAGTCACAAAGAGCACACCTGTTTTCAGCATGAGCCGAGACAAAAAGGCAGGACACAGCCTTATTCGAGGCAGCTGGGAGTGCAGGCTGGCAGACCTGTCCCTCCCACCTGTGCGCCCACGGGTGGCTGTGAGCGCACCTACAGTGCTAGTCTGGAGCTCCCGTAAACTTCAGGGAGTGGGTGAGTGCAAACGTAAAGACCGACTACCATACGCATCATTCTCTCTGAAAACGCCTCAGCCTCTCTGCACTGAAAGGACCTAGGTCTCAGCACAGGCACCACAGCAGCAATGAGTCGGCACAGATTTTCTGCTTCTGTGTTTACGCAGAGTCTAGCTAAATGTGAAGGGTGACAGATATTTTTCTCTTTCAGTATAAGGCTAAATCACTATCCCACGGATACTGAAGATTTAAAGCTTCAATTTACCAGGTCATTCAAGTTAAACTGATTTTCTAATTTACCAGTATCTGAACAGAAAATATATCCCCCTGCCCGTGGAGGCCCCTCAAATGTACGGCCTTTGCTCCTGACAAACTCAGCAGTGCCGAGAAGCTCTATAGCACACAGGCCAATCCACAGGACCTCACTGATCTCACCCGGCCAGTAACGTGGCCCAGGTAAGCCCAGGTCATAGGAGGACTGACACCTGAGCTTCGTGCTCGAAGGAAATGCAGGCTAAAAGTTTGTTTTTCCTTCTTAACCGCTTACCTCCCTTGAAACCAGAATATTTCAAATAAAAGTCTCCGAAGGAACTGGTCTGACCACATAAACCCAGGGGAAGAGGCTGCAGTCTTGGCACTTACTCTCCATTCTGGAACGCCACCACGCCAACCTCGTGCATGACAAAAGGGTCTTCAGGTGCAATGCTCAGAGCTTGGCCAAAAAATCTTTCAGCCAGTTTTGAGTTGTTGGTTAAGCCATATTCTAATCCGATATACAACATTGGCAAATGACACCTAAGAATAATGGAGAATTTCACATATTCAACACCATCAACTTGGTAATTGAGCAGAAAGTAATTTGTCAGCGTCAAATTATATCTGGAAAATACAAAGCCAAACACAGAGCTCCTTTTCCTTAGTCCAGACATTCCAGGACTGTCTCGTGGGCTTTCAGGCTCCCCAGCTGCCACTTCCAGAACCAGGCAGCACCCTATCTATGATGCCACAGCTAAAGCAGAGGGCAGGTCCTCTGTGCTGAGGTCACAGGCCTGCCACTGTCTGCCATCTCCTTAGTAATGACCAATCCTTATCCCTCAAGACTGTAAATCCCACTTCCTCTTCTGGAGCTTCCTCTCACTTTTCTACCTTGATGGGTTTCCATGAAAATCTGTTATTCTCAGCTTCACAGTGAAAATCCTGAATCGTACTATGTGCATGGACTCTAGGTCCGGCCTGTGAGACAGCTGCAGGCAGAGCGGACTACGTCCGGTTATCGCAGGCACAGGATGGGCCACTGGCTGCACCTACAGATGCACTGAGACCTCTGAGACCTCGGAGAACATCGCCATCCGCTGACTAACTGCTTGGAATGTACTTTGGTTTTAATAAAGAGTCATGACCCAGATTAAAATTCTGTCATTGACCTGGGCGTAGCAAGACCCTGCCTGTCAAAAAAAGACTTTATTGCACACGGGCCAGCCACAGCAGTGGTGGTGATACCACACCCACGGGTGGTCCCGGGCCTGTGTCCCATGGCCTCCCCACATCACCAAGGATGCCCCGTGCTGCCCACAGTCCGAGCTGGCTGGGCTACAGTGGGGACCCTGCTGGAGATGTCTCTCTGTCTCTGTCTCTCTCATAGAAGGAAGAAATAAGCACACTTTCTAAATGGGTGGTAGAGAGTGCGTGTGAGGGGCAAAGGGAAGAAACATTTAACAGACAAAAGAATATAAAGTTCTCAGGAAGCAGCAGTTAGCGTAATGGCTATGTCGCTGGACTCCCACGTAGTCGACTGCGGTTCGCGACCCGGACCCGGTGGCTTAAAACTCATTCCGGGCACGTGTGCGTGTGTGCCCAAGATCCCGAGAGGAGAATGGAGGGGAAGGGACTGCAGCGTGACCATCCCCCCTGGGCGGTGATTTCTCACTTTCTGTCTCTCTGTCTCTCTCTGTCTGTTTGGCGAGCGCACGCGCCCTACAGCGAAAACCTCTCCAAAAAAAAAAAAAAAAAAGAATAAAAAGTTCTCTGTTGAAAAAAAACCTCAACTAAAGAGCCTAGCATGTGGGCTGAAAGCACCTCTCAGGAGTGAGACAGACCTCTGTCCCTAACCTTGACAGTCTTTGATAGTTTGTATGATCTTAGAGATTAGTTTCACTGCATATAAAAATTTGGTAATAGTTACATACATGTAAGTTCTGCTTTGAGACTCAATTCAGATATCTACCCAGACCATTCCGTCCCTTTCAATCACCGTTATGACTATCCCGCCATCGCTGTTACGGAGAAGTCCGTCAGTAGCCGTAACAGTAAGGACCTGCAAAACCTACGCCATAGCAGCAGTACAAAGAGTGGCAAAGACTGTCCAAGGCAGCTTTTCAGAACTCTGGAAATTAACCAAGGGCTTACAAATATGTAAGAAGCGGGGGCCAGCAGGTGTGTGGTGGTTAAGGCACTGGACTCCCGCATGGCTGACCACAGTTCAAGTCCCAGATGTGGTGGCTTGAAAATCATGCCAGATACATGTAGGTGCTCGCCCAAAATCCTGAGGGGAGACTGGAGAGGAGATTGTGCATGGCCATCCCCCATGTGGGGTCATTTCTCACTTTCCCTCTTTCTCCGCCTCTCTCCAACGAGTGCACACACCTTATAGAACAAATCTAAAAAACAAAAACAAAAAAACACCTCTGAGGAGTGCATATCCAAGACAGCTGGGGGGCTCGACCACAAAGCCAATCTTGGGGCACTTTAACCCACTGCAGCCCATCTCCCCTGTCCAGGCTCATACCAGCCTCACAGACCAGCAACCTCGCGACACGCAGCTCGACACCATCAGCCTTGCAGCCACTGGAGGGAACAGAGGAGTCCGGAACTCCTCAAACGTCCTGGAGACTGTCACTCTTGGATCTGTCTGGAAGCTCCTAGAAAAGCCTCACTTGCAGCTTTTCTTCATTCAACTCAAACCTCAGAGAGACACACCTCCATTCCCATTTAAGATTTGCTGAAAAGTCAATGAGAGCAACAATTTGGCATCGGTTCTACCAGCTAGGGCAAAGAAGAGGCTGGTCAAGAGCTGAAGTGTGGGATTAAGGGGCCCACGAAGGGTTCTGAGAGCCAGAAAGCGACGTACATCAGCTGTCTGCCAGCACGGGGCAGACCTGGGAGGCCTGATGCTCCCACCTCTGGCTGACCTTAAGGCACTGTGCCAGCAGGAAGCAAAGCTAGGTCAGAGCCTCACCTGCCCAAGTGTTGAAGGTACCCACCAGGGGTGCAGGCTTCCAGCAAAGAGCTCAGCACCAGAACGAAGCCATCGAGCAGACTATCCCGAGCTTCGGCAGCACGTCCAGCCACAGACATGGACTGTGGTGTCAGGCTGGGAACCACTGACAAACTGCAAGTCCTACGGTCGGAGGGAAGTCCGAGCTCCCGAACTGCCACGTTCTATTACTGTAAAGGTCTACTCTCAACAAAAATAAAACTCACACAAAGAGACAGGAAAGTGTGCCTCACACAGGAAAAAGCCGTCAAAGGCAAACTGTCTGGGAGGAAGCCCAGATGTTGGCTAAAGAGCAATACCTTAAATGGGCTACTTTAAAGATTCAAAGAACTGAATGGAAATTCAGTCTATAAAATTCAAAACAAGTACGAAAACAATATCTCACCCAACAGAGAACAGAGACAGCAATTACAGAAATGAGCCAGAGAGCAGTTCTGGAGCTGAGAAGCCAGCTGAGGCCGAGCACACTAGACAGCAGGGGCACCCGTGACCTTCGTGAAGACAGGTCAATGGAGATGCTCCTGTCTGAGAAGCAAGAACAGAGGGATGAAGAAAAGTTACACGGAAGGCCGGCCACCGTGCTGCAGCAGCAAGCGATGCTCTGCAGTGCTGAGGCCGCATGGGAAGGTCCCGCCCGAGTGTGTCCTGAGGTCAGTCCGTGCGGCAGGCTCACGTACACGTGCCCGTGATCCTGGCTGGCCAGAGCTGGGGCCAGGACAAGGCCATCGTGTGAAGACCCTGGTAGGGGTGCTGTCTCCCTCTCTCATGGAAGAAACAAATAAAGAAAACTGAATACAGCCTCAGGGATCTTGGAGTATCACCAATCATACTGACATATATACCACAGGCTCCCAGAGGAAAAAGGAGAGAGAAAAGAGCAGAAATATTTGAGGAAGTGACAGCCAAAAACTTCCCAAGCTCAGAAAATTCCCAAGAATGATTAACTTATTTTTTTTTTTTTTTAGAGGTTTTCGCTACAGGGTGCGTGCACTCGCCAGACAGACAGAGAGAGACATAGAGACAGAAAGCGAGAAATCACCCCCCAGGGGGGATGGTCACGCCGCAATCCCTTCTCCTCCATTCTCCTCTTGGGATCTTGGGCATGCATGCACACGCGCCCAGCGTGAGTTCTAAGCCACCGGGTCCGGGATGCGAACCACGGTTGACTACGTGGAGTCCAGCGACATAGCCATTACGCTAACTGCTGGTTCCCAGAATGATTAACTTTTCAAAGAAATCCAGAGCTAGACAAATCATAGTCAAGCTACTGAAAACACAAAAAGAGATCTTGATGGGCCCAGGTGCTGCACAACTGGACCCACGAGAGGAAAGCCCTGGTTCAGGTCGCAGGGCCACCCAGAGCACTGGGCACATGCGTGTGCCTGTGCCCTCTGCTGCGGAGACTGGGTGTGGGCTGCGGCAGGGGGTCCTGCTGGAGTACCTGTCTGGGATCCTCAAGAGTAACAGCTGTCTGGAGATGGATACTGGACCTGAGATGTGAAATGCTGCTTTCCTTGACCAAAACTGAAGACGTTTTCTGCTGAGACATCCCCCCTCTAGATTCAGTCCTAGTGGGCAGGGCTACCTCTTCTCCTTCTCTCCATTTCTCTCCATCTCTCTGTGTCTCCCTGTGCCATTTACATTGTTTTGTTCTGTTCTGTTTTAAGGTAAAGTGTCCTCTGGGCTCTCAAGCACTTCCTTTATTGTGCTTAATTGGGGCCTTTCCCCATTTCATTTCGGAAAGGCACAAACCCAGACCATCCTGAAATGGTTACCAAACCTGAGCTGTGAAATATTCATGTGCCGCGCAGTTTTCATTTTTGCTTTTTAAAATTAAAATCTAATGCTTTTTTAATATCTTTTTTCTTTCACCTTTTTCATTTTATCTTTTCTTCTTCTTTCCTCCTCTCTAATTCTTTTTCCTTATCTTTATTCATTAGCTGTTCAGCCTCTATGCACCAAGTGCCTACACTGGTCCAAGTGAACAGGATCCAAACATCTGCATCTGATCAGGGTCAGATAGTCCTCCATTCCCACTGAATCTGATGCACAAAGAGTGCAAACGGAACAGAGATCGCAGATCCCCCTCCTCCACGCCTGACTCCCCTCTTTTTTTTTTTTTTAAGAGAGATTTTTTTGTTATGGAGTGTATATGCTCACTGGAGAGACAGAGAGACAGAAAGAGAGAAACCAGCCCCTGGGGGATGACCACACTGCAATCCCTTCTCCCCATTCTCTTCTTGGGATCTTGGGCACACACACACATGCACCTGGTGTGAGTTTTAAGCCACAGATCCAGAACTAGAACCACAGTCAACTACGTGGGAGTCCAGTGACGTAACCATTACGCTATCTGCTGGTCCTAGTACTGCTTTTTAAAAACAAACAAAAATCCATTCATCTTAAAGGACCAAGGCATATGTTACCACTTTTAAGAAGCCGTCCATGGGACCAGCAGTTGTGTGGACAGAAGTCTGACTACTTTTCCTATTTTCCAAAATCTTTTCAAAAGGGACTGGGG